CGGGGGTCCATCTCTGGGGTGGAGAACAGGTAAAGATAAACAACTGTCAAAAGTCAGATGTCCTTGCGCCTTAGTCGCAAACTGCACCAGAGCGAGTCTGTTAGCAACGTGGCTTGATCATCTACCGTTTCGCACTGCACTTCATTACGATGGTATAAAATTACCCCACCCCCTTTACAAATGGCGATCGTTTCGAATGAGGGACATGGCGATTTCGGCGTCGGTTTTTTCTGTATGTAGCCAGTTTCTGTTACGAATATGAGGTCCCAGGGTATGATGCATGACATAGCTGCGGTTCGGCAAGTTTGCTCAGTAGACTTTGCGTATTGGGGTACATGCAGGAAAGTTTCGCTGTTCTTAGTAAGGGGCCGTGGGATGTGCGTTTTGGGTATGTGCCGACCGGTAGAAGGCCGGCAACAAAGCGTTTTTCGGGTGGGGTAATGACGGACTCATCTGTGTCAGATCCAGCGTTCCCGCCATTAACTCTATGCTTCTGTCTTTATATGAAGGGCATGGGATGTTTTCCAGTTGCATTGGCTAGCTGAGTGAAATAAACCGAACCGTTATGTGGTGGTGGTCCGACTAAGTGGCTGCTTTCGTATGTTAGTTTAGGGGAAGCTGCTTTGATGCGGAGCTCAGAAGGAAGGCAGCTACCGCCTGCTAACCAGCTCTAACACCCTAGTTGACAACCGTCTGAATTGAAGCACCACTCATAATTCTCGGGCCATTTCCATCGTAATATGGAGACCTGAGAAGCCTCGAGATCGACTGCGTTATGCCATCGTCAAGGGACAGGGTCGTTGGCGGTCGCTTCGCGCTCATCATGGCCTCCAGAACACGGTGTACAGTAGAACAAAGGTGTATTACGGGTAAAAACGCAGTGCTTAACAAGTCCTGTGGGATGGAAATTATTGCGAAAAATAAATTGCATGATAAAGAGAAAAGCGTTTTGGTGGACTCACCATAGACTTATGTAGAATAGCGAAGATGTTCGAACATAAAAAGTATAAATCCATAAACAAATTGGTTGGAAGTTTGGTAAGACACCGTTTGATTGCGTTTTGTAACTCCTAGCTAACAAGTTATAAAATAAAATGCAAGTGAGACAAAGCATCGTCAAATCGTCTTTAAATATTGTCATATTGGGAGCAGACAACAGAAAAAGGTAGGGCGTTTGAATGTTGGCACACGCGGAGGGAAAAGAAATTTCGACGGCATTCAAGCCGGCTATATTGTATTTTCAGTTTCAAAGCATAACGGCAAATGGGTATACGTTCAACAAAATCTAGAAAACCATTAAGCGATCCCTTCGATAAAGCCTAAATCTTGACGCAAACGACCGATTGCTTAAAGAACCTGTTTTAGATGAGAGCTTTATTTATGCCCACTGATCCTCTCTCGCATCAATAATTACAGAAACAGCTTCAGTGAGGGATTCCGAATGCAACGATTCAGCCAGCATTTGGGAAAGCGTCCATTTTAATGAGCATACTAATATGGCGGTTCTTTTCACTGCCGGCTCCTTGATTCAAGCCGTGGAGTCTGTCCATTGTAATGATGTATGCAACACATTCTGTCCCCCTGTCATGAGGAATGAACCATGTGGGATTTGCGTGTTCGACAATGTTGCTTTGGATGCTCACTATGCGATGGACAAGTTGGAGTATGATTGCTTTATTATCGAAGAAGGGGACGTCCATCACGGCCAAGCAACTCAGTTTGCGTCTTGCGACAATTCGCATGCCCCCTTCGTTTATATTCCCCGTTAGGATGAGCAACGTTTTTGGCCTAAGTTGCTGGAGTCCAACTTTGAAGTTATTGATCGAGGTCTTGACCATCGCTCTGAATGATACGAACATTGGTGACGCTGACCACTTAACTATCTTTCATCGAGTAAATTTGCCTGTTACCTATGAGCTTGGCCATGCTTTGGTTTTGGTCTCGGACGGCTACGATTGCGTATTCAGATTTCTCTTAGATCAATTGCAAGTCAGTCCATCTTTGCTCACCAAGATGAAGCATAAGCGCATGCGTCTGGCTGATAGCAACGTCGTGGTCGCCATAGAGCGTGGTTATTATCTTGATTCGCTTGCTGAAAATGCGACTCACACAATCACAGTACCTTTGAGTGCTCCGACCTCCTCATTGGATCCGCTAAAAGAAGTGAACCTGTGTTAAAATCTCTCTTCGACTCTGTCGGTGTTGCGTCTTTGATTGTGCTCACTAAATGTGTTCAAGTTCGAGGAACGCACACCAATTTCGTGCACGAATTCACTGCCTGAGGAAAGTTGGAAGATGAAAGACTGCGAGTCGAAACTGTCAGATGTTCAGGTTCCGACTATCAAACCTGAAGAACTTTGTGGTCTGCACGGAATTCCTGTTGTCGATTAGAATGTTCACCATGGTACCGGTTCAGGAAAGAATTTTGAGAGTGATCCTAACTTAGTGTTTATATCAGTACATAGTTATGGCGACGTACGGCTTCTCCCCAACACCGATGGATCCTCTCCAACAACTTGGGGATTGAGCGATGGTGCCTGTTGCAATATTCACGTGGCATGGAAAGGGTGACCTGTGAGAGCCAGAAGAGATAACGCCGCTTTTACCCTGTTACTTAAGAACGAGTGTATTATTAACAGAAGACACGTAGATTCGGAAAGCAACCCTGCAGATCCGATATCGAGAGACATTAGTTCATTGTTGCGTTTAGAGGGCCAGACTTCTTAGCACACGATAAAACTGAATAGCCCAACTTCGCCTTAATTTCCGAGTTTGAAGAAGCAGAACTTAAACGTCCGACTGCATTGGTATACGCTATCTCGAACGAGTAACTACTAGCAGTTGTACTCACCAGAGGTGACAAGTGGAGGAAATCGCTTAGGTCGGTTGTATGGCTAATCCGATTCAAAACGTACCTGAAGGCTCGTGTATACGTGACTCATAACGAGCTAAAGGATAACCGGCTGTTTACTATCGCGCAACTTGTGGCCCATAGGATTAGTTGGAAACTCAGCTCGGAAGAGGACCTCCTAAGGACAGTGGATTTTAGGACGAAGGATGATTTGCAAGAGGGAAGTGCGAAAAATCTAACTGATGGAAGGTAGTCGACTAGGGTGTGTAGTTCCGGCTACTGGCTCTCCGCAGATGAGAGGCGGATCTTCAGTATACCACTCCAGGGAGGATCACTGAGAGTCCAACAGAGCGAAGTGGGAAGAGAAGGTGTACTAGTGTAAGTGCTGTATCCTTCCACTGTGGATGGAGTGGGCGGGTAGGCGCGAGCTCAAAGGTAAGTAGGTAGGGTAGGTAATAAATAAGTAAATGAAAAAATATTAATAAAAATAATTAAAGAAATAAGGGAAATAAATACAAATAAAAAATAAAAGTAATGGGTTAATAAAAATAAATAATTAAATGAATGAAAAATAAATAAATAAGGTACGCGTTTTCCCTTTTTTATCACTGCATACCTACATTTGCACCCCTTGTATACATTGATGCTTCTATAGGCCAGTTATGCTGTCATTTTTGCTGGGTTTGTTTTGTCGAGTAAATTGCTTGTCCTCAAATCACTGATTTTAGCGATAGGAACCATCTAAAACAATTCGAACAATGTCTTATGTGGTTCCGCTGTAAAATTTGAGCAAGCCACCTAGTTTGGCTACATCTCGTACTGTTAAGAAATACACCGTTTGTTTAGTTACTTTTTGAAAGGCGGAGTGTTAAATTACGGACTAAAGACATGGTGTACGATGCTTTCGTTCGCAACGTTAGAGTATCGGCCAAAGACATGGTCTTTATGCATCAGTGCCTGTGCAAAATTGCTAATACGTTATGACGAATCATGGAATGAACACTGATGTCAGTTATTGTTGGTGACAAACTCTGCGGTACGGCACCGTGGCCTACGTCGGTCCGGCCACGAGCTTTGTATATCTGCTGATGTATGTTGTTGCTTGACACCACGTCTAGCTGGGCGGCGATTTAGTAAAAGATGCACGAAGTTAGTGGCCAAAAGATATAGTAGAGGTAGGTGGTAAATGGATCAGATATGGCGTAGTAAGTACGGCTATTGTATTGGTAACTTGATTCTGGTCATTCAACAGACGAGTTCTACTTTAGATTTTACGTAAATCAGCTTGTTCTCTATTCTATCTCACTATTGTTAATTTGGATATGGTAGCAATACTAGTTATGGTAGCCGGATGGAGCGCAATTCAGTGCTTCGATCATAATCGAACAATTGAAGTAAGCCTAGCTATCAATTTACATTCCTAAGTAGTCAGTCACTGATGTGATCGAACAACACTGAGTCAGACGAACGATAAACACACGTGACGTGTACCAGAATAGTCGCAGTTTGCTCAGTGGTCCTTCGAATTCCAACCTAATTAAACTGCGGAAACTGATGGGAGTTGATGTTTAGAAAGTTTCGGATTGGGTTACGTGTTCTCTGCACGCCACTGCCCCTTGAGTGGGGCTCTTTTAGTGTCGCATACACCAAGATGACTATGCGCGTGTCTCATCTCCTAAGTGGTTTTTCCGGTCCCTGTTCCCATTCGAGCTATATCTGCACATATGAGACCATACTGCGATCCAGAGCAAGTGGGTGGGAGAACATACTGGACGAAATAGAGCAGGCGAGTGGGATCCATCACACTTCGATTGTCGGATAGAAAGACACATGTGTGATCAGAAGTAATCACGGCTACCTGATGCCTGATGAAAAGCTTCATGATTGCCCACAGTATTCTGTTCAGTTTAATACAACAACCATATCGCTTATGACCCCGAGACTGGAACAGCGTAAGAGAAGCAGAGATAAGGACTGTTAACAAATGTTTCATGCGATAAATCCCAAATATATAAGGCGATGTTTTGGAAATAACTTCAGTTAGAGAACAGGTTGAAGGAATAACAAGTGGATGCTACGGACATCATTCGTGAACTGAACTAGCTGAAGTGAAAGGCGAGTTTTGCAGGTGTGACATGGCAAAACGAGATCACTGCGGTGGGTCCACCCGGAGTAAATGCTTCCCCGGAACTAGGTAAGCTCTATAACTGGCTTTGGCGCCATCTGTATCAAAATGGCAGTGTCCACAAAGTGTTCTGTTACTATTGAAGCAGTGAAAATGTTCCAAACGAATCTTCCAGTTTTGCTGAAACAAGAATTCAAAGAGAAACAGCAAACGAAATATGAGCGACAATATGTGGAGGTCTAGCTTCACTGATGGTGTTATTTTATTTGGTTTATAAACCCAAAATAATGGATGGACACGCGTGGCAGTGGAATAAGTACGATGCAGCAATTGTGACAGGCAGCAATTTAAACGCACCGCATGTATGAAGGCAGGTGGGCAAAAGGATTACATAGGTATGAAGATGAATACAAAATAATCATTGGTTTTTATATAATTCAGCGCGCTGTGGAGTACGCTTACGGGACTTTTACAGGACATAAGATCTATCAGTCAGTAGTTCGAGTTGAAAATACAGCCAACAGTCGAAAGCAAGTATAAAGTTAGGCATGGCCAGAGGATGATTGATATTCATTCATTCATACACGTTAGCTGGAGGTGGGAAACATCACAGCTATTGTGCCGCAATACATAAGAAAAGAAACATGCAACAGAGACACGCAAGGTGTCACCAGAAACGGACGGTATCGTTCCGGAGAGCTAGTAGACGGTTGTTGTGCCGTAAAGAAAAGTTATCGTATGCCTAGGAAATGAGATCGTGGTTAAAGGGGGAGAGATAAAGAAACTCACAACACAAAAGCCACTGAGGTTGGCTACTAGCCATGTCAACAAGTGTGTCCAGCCAAACTAATTCATCGTTTAACCAATTCTGAACCAGCGAAATAATATCAACTCTATTTAAGGATTCGTATCCAAGTCAAAGCGATAAGGAATCATCATCATCAACAATAAACACTAGCCGATAGTGAGAAACATCCCTCAGTTAATGTACCGTAATGAAAAAAGAGATTATAGAAATAATACCACAAAATAATACAAAAGCAAGTTACATGTTAAATAGCATACTGTTCATTTGCTATGAGATTGTAATTGGAGGGGAATCTAAAGCAGAAGAGGACGAACAAAGAAACTCACAACACAAACGCCATTGGGGTCGGTTTTTCGCCATATCACCGTGTCCAAGCGAACGTGTTCATCCACATTCGGACTCCAGCCGGGCAGTCGGGATGCATCAACCGACGCTAAGTTCGAAATGAGGGTTTTCATTCCTCTTGACCAAGTCATCGCTTAGCCTACTTCCTTCTTCCCTCATGCACATCCCGGGCGCGCAAACAACGGACGTCGCGGCAGTCGATGTGCTGACATGCGCAGCACGTGGCACAGCCGTCGGAGCCTGGTGCGTGAAATAACGGTACTCACCGTTTCACTCGCTCCTCCAGCACCAAATGCACGACGGCGAATACGCTCATTGCTCACGAGGCTCTCCCACCAGACATGCGCTAAGCTGCGAAGGCAGTGATGGTCGAACTTAGTGGCATTTTTATGGCTGTCGATTTGATGATGTAGGTTTCGCAACCGTACAGGAGGGTTAAACAGACGGTTGCATTGTAAACACTACCCTCCAGTGCGAGAGTGATATACCGGCGGAAATTGGCAAAAACACTTCGGGCTTTGGGTATATAGTTGGTGAGCACAACTTCGATCCCACGGGCGCTATAAAGTTGCCCAGGTACTTGAATTCCTGAACGAATTTTAGTTGATCACCAATAAGGGTCATCTCAGACGGGGTCTCTGCTAAGTTTAGATATGGATTATGCATTTCGAGGCAGCAAAGCAAAGCCTAAAACAATTGACAGTCAGTGCTAACCTGCCCAATGTTGCTTGGTACACTTGTGAGCTGTCACTGATGAGCACAATGTCGTCAGTATATTCCAAGTCAAGACGTCGTATACCAGGAAGCAGCGCCACACCTTGTAGGTCGTGTCCAGCGAACGCTGTTTCAGTGACTTCATCAATTGTGAACATACAGATGAAAGGTGACAGTAGACAACCTTGTTGCACACCGCTGGAAATATTGAAGGGCGGCGACAGTTTGCCATAAACCCTCATTCTGTCCGAACTATGCACGTACAGGGCCCTGCTAATTACATATTTATCGGGCACACCTTTCCTGAGCAGACAATCTCAAAGCGCAAATCGATCCACCGAATCGAAGGCATCTTTGATGTCGAAAAGCACGGCTGTGGTAGGTCGCCAATAAATATGGCGGTGCTCCAACGATTGACGTAAAAGTATGGTCGATGCAGCCTCGATTTCGACGAAACCCGGCTTGCTCCTCAAGAATCGGACTTTCAGGAGTGTCAGTCAGTCTGTAGAGAAAGACAGACAGGTAGTATAGACACAATTAAGATCAGACTGATTCCTCTATTATTGCTGCATTCTGAACGGGACGCTCCCTTAGAAATCAAGACCATGACAGAGCGGTTCCAGTCTGTTGGGACAGTTTCGTGCTCCCATAACATCACAAGTAAGTTGTACAAATCATCCGCAAAAACAGGTCCCCGAATTTGAAGAGGACCGGGGGAAGTCCATCCGCCCCTGCGGTCTTATCCAATTTCAACAGACTGATCTCACGTTAGACTTCTGTGAGTGAGGATGGATCCAAGGAGACGGCCCGGGAAGAAAAGCAATCAATGTCCGAAAAAGAAAGTAAACTCAGGTCGAACAAACTGCTTTGCAAAGCCCAAGGCTCCAAGCGCTTTGTCAAGCTTTGGATCGACTGTCCACTCTGATCACGTATGGTCTCGCTAACACCAGCTCTCCTGCTGTGCGTTTCTCGTATCAGAAAGAATAACTTACAACGGTTATCAACGGCAGCGGCTGTTGCCATCTCCGACGGACGATGAGACCAGCAGGTCTCTCTTCAGGCTAGCACGCAGATTTGCCCTGAGAACTGCGGGTCTCACTGTGGTCGCCTCCAGCCGAAATATGTCGACGAGCATCCAGAAGTTCCAGAGACCCAGTGTCCAGTTGGCAATTTGATTTGCCACGTGAAGACATAGCTGCTGTCAATAACGTCTGGCGAATATGAGAGCAGTGATTTTCAACGGTGCTCAGTGAGCGTTTACTCAGCCCGGATGGCAGGGTACCTTGGTACACATTCAGAACACTTGGATTCGTCAGTTGGTTGGTATCTATGCACTCACAGCGAAGCTTCGAACGTCCGCCGAAACGAACCCGAAGGTCGGCACACGCAAGAGCGTGATCGGAGTCAACGCTCTTGCTTCAGATGGAGCGACAGTTTTGGACCCAGCCTCTCCAGCTATAAATGATCGCGATGTGATCCATTTGGATCCATGGCTGGTCCGAGGTTGGTCCGTACCGAGTCACTCCACTGCGGGTGTTGTGTCAAAAGTTGGTGCTCGCGAGAAAGAGTCGAGGACCTTCACAAAGGTGGAGTAACCTCTCACTACGGGAGCACATACCATGTTGGCCGCCCAGATGAAGCTCATCAGTGTACGGTTTTCTAGCTTGTGCGTTCAACCGCCAACAAGCATCACAGTATCCGTGTTTCTTCTGTAACGAAGGAAATGGTGAAGTTGCTGATAGAAATCATCTTTCACCGAATCAGTGCTACAGTTTGTGGGGGCGTAAGCCGCAATGACAAACAGGCACCGTTTGTCCCCGCCCGAGCTCGAAGTTTGGAGCGAGCCAGACAATCTAACGGTGCACATTCGGCATTTGACTGGGATCCAATCGATCAGGGAGGCTTCAGCCCCGGGACCCAAAACAGTGCCAACACCAGTTTGACCGGCATTTGAAGCTGCGTCATCGCCAGACAGACGCCAGTGTCGCATATAGGAGATCGCAGGGTAAGCACGGAGCTCGACACTTGCAGGCGGGTTTCCGATAAGCAGCAAATATCGATCGATAGGGTCTCTAGTGTGCTGGTAAGTGCTGTCTCTTGGCCAATTTGTAGCCAAGTGCGCACGTTGAGGCACGCCAGTCTTAGGGAGACTCGAGGATTCCAAAGGAAAACGGATGAACTGACGTTGTCCGCTTGGTTGAACATGGACTTGTCGACTGGATTGGAGGGACGCCCTGCGACTGTGTGTGAGTTGAAACTAGAAGACAACCGATTATCGAAGCAAGGTAGAGGAGGGCCAAAAATTGGGGGGTTTAAAAGGGGGATAAAAGTGAAGTTGGAATGGGACGATAAGGATGAAAAAATCACAAGAGGGGTAATAAGAAGACGGGAACGCCTGGGTAGTAGAACCCAAAAATCTATCCACCCTGAATGATGCAGCTGATAGAGCGCCGTTTACCATCGTCTGCGACGGCCAGAGCATTAAGTGATGGTTTGAAGGGGAAGTCATTGTGTCGTATTGCGTGGGCACGATACTGTCAGGTTGCCCAGGCCTAGTTAGGAGAACGACTAGGGTTCTCAACCAGTCTTCGATTCAAAAACATTATCGCAAGACAGCGGGGTTTTGGCACTGGGCTAAAAAGAGTCCACGTTTTATGGAGTAAGGAGTCATCCTCACTCCGACCCCCAAGCAGGATGGCCAGAAGCCTGAGTTTGTCTGGCCCCTAAAGATTGACCAATCTGGAATGAGTAGCTATGAAGGTGCAAAAAGCACCCCCCCAGCATAGCTCAATGGATCTCAGAGGCAGGCAAACCATCGCACCACCGTAAGGTCCAGTCTCGTTGCGATGGAAAGTGGTAAGGCGGAGATTCAACATCAAGAATTAATAGTTCGCGTTTATCTCGTAGTGTTTATTATGCTTATCTGTCAGTGTGTAGTAGATGGGTGAAGATTGACCATCGATAAAAGCGCCACCGGTACGTGTATTTACGATCAGATGATCCGTCCTGTGTTACCCGCGTGCAACGCGTAGCCCACGGATGATTTGCGCTACCACACAAGCAAAGCAATAGTTATAAAGGGAAGATCACATCCGGAGGATGGAATGCTGCGACACCTAATCGATGGACTGAAAGGAAGCAAATGTGCCGAAACTCTCTAATCTCCTTTGTGATTGGTTGTAGATAGACAAGGAAGGAAACACGAATCGTTAGTCGCCTGAACCGGTTGCTTTCAATCCCAGCTGAAATCAAACGTTTTTAATGTTTTGAGACTAACTGTATGGCAACCGTACGTGATCGCTACCATGAAGGTTCAATTTTCATAGTAGGTTGTCAAAATCATTAGGTGTGAACGCACGAGCATATTCTCTGGATGCATCGGTAAAACAGGGATTTTGTGATCAAAGGTAACGAGATAAAAACCGAAGTAATTATGCCCACTAGAATGGGTAGTAAAGCCAGGCATCGTACAAAGCGCAGCACACAAGCAAGGTAGGAACTCACCGGGTCATGGGATAGAGCCGTACCAACGGCAATTGCAGGGCAGTCCATTTCGAAGAATTTCAGCCATTGGTTTACTTTGGCCGGTGTGTCCAACGGCTCATTGCAAAATTCTGGCTAAAGAAAATTGTATAGAGGGAAAACAGATTTGATATGTCGTTTCCACTCAACAAAGCTAGGTTAGATTTATGCATAACGCCTACAGTTGTGTCGCGAGAGAAACCTAATGAGAGCCATCGACCGTTGGATTCATGTCGGAACATGCAACTTCTTGTAGGGATCGTGGCAGTAATCAAAACGTACCAGAACGTGAAATTTGCACTTGCCAGTCTCTTGCACCACCACACCCCCGACACCAACTGGACGATCGAGCTTATTGTATCGAAGGGCTAGCGCCTGCTGCACAAATTGATCGAACTTTCCGTCCCGCACGCGGTCAGAAGCAATTAACTCAATTACCTGGAAAAGGCGAACAGTTTGAAGATGATAATGAGAAGGGAACATAATGGACCAATGTATAAGCGTTAAACATAGCAATGCTTAGTCATGAGCGATGCCAGTGAATAAGGGCTTTCCGAATCGTTGATGCTGACCGAGTATACAACTGATTCTATCTACCTTGATAGCATGTACCCAAACTGAGGACGTTTTTAAGCCGAAGACTAGAAGTCGCCATACAAGCACGACGGTAGATCAGTCTTCCTGGACTAAAACAATTGTTTTTAAAAAATAGATATTGAACACAGCCCTATTCAACAAGAAAAAGAGGACACAAGGTGTGATATGCAAGCTGAAACGCGGTACATGCATACAGTAAAATGTCGATACTTTTCGTCGAGCTTGTTGGTTTGCCTCCAGGCCGATTCGGGAAATCAATGAACAGCAACAAAAGCTCATCGAATTGCAAATATCCCTCGTGCGCACACTACCGGACCCGAACTCCAGCGAGCGCCCGGAGCGACGCACTGCACTCGTCGCGATGGAACTGGCACGCTACCACATCGATACTGCGGAGCTCAGTGAAACTCGGCTCGCTGAGCAAGGTAAGTTGCATGAAGCAGGTGCTGACTACAAATTCTAATGGGTGGGCAACGCCGCCTCAGCACCACATGAACAAGGGGTCGGATTTACAATATCCGATCGCGTCCATGGCCAGTGCAGGGGTGAACCAACAGACATCAGCGTGCGACTGATGACTGTTCGACTACGACTCGGAAGAGGTAAGTTTGCTACCTTTATAAGCACGTACGGTCCGACCATGTGTCATCCTGATGACACGCGTGATCAATTCTACACTCAGCTATCCTCCGTGATACGGTCTGTGCACTGCGTCGCTCCAATCCAGTCGACAAGTCCATGTTCAAACAAGCAGACGTCAGTTCATTCGTTTCCCTTTGGACTCCTCGTGTCTCGCAAAGATTGGCATGCCTCAACGTGCGCACCTTGCTGCAGATTGGTCAACATGCAGCACTTGCCCGTACACTAGAGACCCTATCGATCGATATTCGCTGTTTGTCAGAAACCCGCCTACAAGACTCGAGCTCCGTGCTTACCCTGCGATCCCCCACATACGACACTGGCGGCACATTCTCATTGCGCTTGCCTGGTGATGATGCAGGTTCAAATGCCGGTCAAACTGGCGTCGGCATTGTTATGAGTCCCCGGGCTGAAGCTGCCCTGATTGAATGGATGTGCGCCGTTAGAACAGCTGGTTCGTTTCTTGCTACGAAGTCGCGCGGGGACAAACGGTGCCTGTTTGTAATTGCGGCTTACGCCACTACAAACTGTAGCACTGATACGGTAAAAGATGATTTCTATCAGCAACTTCACGAGCTCCGTTACAGAAGAAGCACGGATACTGTGGTGTTGGCTGGCGATCTAAACGCCCAAGTCGGAAAATTGTCCTCTGATGAGCTTCATCTGGGCGGCCAACATGGTGTAGGCTCCCGTAATGATAATGGTGAGCGACTGCTACAGCTGTGTGAAGGTGCTCGCCTCTTTCTCGCGAGCACTAACTTTCGACACAGCACCCGCAGAAGTGTGGCTTGGCGGCCACCAGCCTCGGGCCAGCCATGGATGCAAATCGATCATATCGCGATCAGTTACCGCTGGAGAGGCTGTGTCCAAAACTGTCGCTCGACTTGGAGCACGAGCGTGAACTCTGACCACGCACTTGTCTGTGCCGACCTCCGGGTGCGTTTCGGTGGATGTCCGCAATGTCGACGTGAACGGATTGACACCAGCCAGCTGGCGAAGCCATATGTTCTAAATGTGTACCAAAGTGCGCTGACATCTGGGCTGAGTAAGCGCCCACTAAACACCGTTGAAGATCACTGGTCGCATATTCGTCAAGCGTTGCTGTTAGCAGGCATGTCTTCATGTGGCAAAGCAAATTGCCAAACCGGACATTGGGTTTCTACGCAGTCTCTGGAACTTATGGATGCTCGCCGACGTCTTCCGGCTGGAAACGAACACAATGAGGCTCGCAAAAATGTCAGGGCAAAACTACGTGCTAGCCTGGAGAAGGACCGCGAAACCTGGTGGTCTCGTCGTGCATCGGAAATGGAAACAGCCGCCACCGTTGGTAACCATCGTAAGTTATTCCGTCTGATACGGGAAAGAGGCAGCAGGAGACCTGATGTTAGCGAGACCATACGCGACGAGAGTGGGCAACCGATCCACAGCCTGTCAAAACGCTTGGAGCATTGGGCTGAACACTTTGCAAGGCAAGTTAACCAACCTGAGTTATCGCTTTCTTCTTCAGGCATTGAGCGCCCTTCTTCCTAGGCCGCCTCCTTGGACCCGCCCTCATGCGCAGAAGTCGAACGTGAGATCAAGCTGTTGAAATTGCATAAGGCCGCAGGGGCAGATAGAATTCCCCCAGCCCTCTTCAAATTCGGGGGACCTGCTCTAGTAGATGATCTACACGAGTTGCTAGTAAAACTTTGGGAGCAGGAGACAGTCCCGACAGACTGGAACCGCTCCGTCATTGTCCCAATTTTCAAGGGAGGCTCCCGTTTAGAATGCAGCAATCATAGAGGGATCAGTCTGATTTCGATTGCCTCTAAATTGCTTGCCTGTGTCATTCTCCACAGACTGACTGGCACCCGTGAAAGCCAGATGCGTGAAGAGCAAGCCGGATTTCGTCGAGGTCGGGGCTGCATCGACCACATCTTCACATTGCGTCAGTTGCTGGAGCACCGCCATGTTTATTGGCGACCCACCGTTGTCGTGTTTCTTGACATAAAAGGTGCCTTCGACTCAGTCGATCGATGTGCCCTTTGGGACTGCCTGCCTATTGAGGAAAGGTGTGCCTGATAAATATGTAAACTTTATCAAGGCGCTGTACGCGCATAGTTCGGGCAGGGTGGGGGTTTATGGCAAACTGTCGCCACCTTTCAGTATCACCAGCGGTGTGAGACAAGGATGCCCGCTGTCACCTTTCCTCTTCAACTTCGCTATTGATGAAGTCATGGAAACAGCGTTCGCTGGACAAGACCTAGAAGGTGTGGCGCTAATTCCTGGCGAGCGACTTCTTGACTTGGAGTATGCGGACGATATTGCCCTAATGTGTGACAGCTCCCAAACATGCCAAACAGCATTGGACCGATTAGCACTGGCTGTCAATCGTTTTGGGCTATGCTTTGTTCCATCGAAATGCAAGGTACTTCTCCAAGATTGGCAGGGACCCAACCCTGCGCTAACACTTGGTGGTGATCTGCTAGAAGTCGTTCAGGAATTCAAGTACCTGGCCAGCTATATTAGCACTCGTGGGATTGAATATGAGGTTACGAACCGTGTAGCAAAAGCTCGGTGCTTTCCCCAATCTCCGCCACCCGTGGCGCAGACGCGACACGATAGCTAGCTGTTAGCTCTCAGGAACGATGTCCATCCGTTACTGGAGACTCAGCGGGCGTGCTACTGTTTGTTTTCCTTTTTTTCTTTTGTATTGCGGCACAATAGCTGAGGTGTTTTCCACCTCCAGCTAACGTGTAATGATGATGATGATGCGGAGGAGAAGAAGCGACAGACTATTTCTGCTGGGTGATATAAACGCGCGCGTTTGGCGTGAGGCATCGGCATGGACAGATGTTAGCGGTTCGCATGGCATTGATTCAGTGAATGCGAACGGTGACAGGCTGCTCTCACTGTGTGCCACTCACGGCCTGACGATCACGAACACTCGGTTTGCACTGAGTGCGAGTGATATAGCAACTTGGACGCACCCACGAAGTGGTCACGCTCACCCACTCAACTATGTCATCGCACGCCAGCGTGATATGTGTGAATTGTGCATGACCTGTGTACTGCGTGGAGCTGAGTGTGGCACTGATCACAAATTGGTACTGACCAAACGGTACATACATTTTCGTGAATCTATGTATTGCACTCGCGCCGTAAATCGGCGTACTTTTAAAATCCCTCCCTAGGTATTGTGGCGAAACGTATTGAGCTGGAGAAGGAGATGGCTGCACGCCTGTGTAATGTGGACTGCATACCTACAGTGGGCGACCTGTAGCACCACATTCGCGACCAGGTGACAGCTGCTGCCGAGGAGATCATGGGGCGCGTGAACTGTGAGCGGTCTGATTCGTTTGGACTCGGAGAAGAATGCAGCATTTGCTGCACATGTGGCAGACCCCAGTGACTTGGGGAAGAAGAGTCAGTTTCGTAAACTTCGACGGCGACTGACCCGAGAGCTCCGCCGTAATGAAAAATGCCTGGTGGACGTAGAACGCGAAGCAGATGGAATGCTACGCCCAACGCCGCCAACACAAGGAATTCTTTGACTCCTTGAAGGCGGTGTATGGACCGAGATTGGAGCCGCTGAGGACGCTGATCGATGGTAGTTCGGGCGTTACCTGCACACAAACTGCAGATCTGTCAAAAACACTTTAACTGTCTTCTGAACAACCGTTCAGATATCGACTGGCCTACATTGAACAGCCTCAAACAGCACGATGTGAAAACGAGTCTGGCGGACACGCCGACACTGGATGAGACGCAGAGAGCACTTGCTCAGCTGCGAAATGGTAAGTGTGCCGGAGCCGACGGGATCCCGCCTGAAGTATTGAAACACGGCGGACCCGCGTTGTTGACTGCGTTGCACCACTTGGTGCACCGCGTATGGATTGAGGAGGAGATGCCTCCTGAGCTGAAGGATGCCCTGCAAAAGAGAAGGGAGCAAGCAATGTTGCACGAATTATCGTGGCATCAACTTGCTGAGTTGTGTGGGTAAGGTGATTGCCCGAATCCTGCTCCACCGCCTTGTCAGGCAGGTTGTGGAAGCTAACGTGGCGGAAGAGCAGTGCGGACTCCGTTCGGGTCGCAGCACTATAGATATGGTGTTTGCGGCTAGTCAGTTGCAACAGAAGTGCAGAGAAGGACAACGGCAGTTGTACTCGCTTTTTGTTGATTTCACCAAAGCATTTGATACGGTGAACCGAGAGGCATTGTGG